AAAAAAAAAAAAAAAAAAAAAAAAAGTTTTTTTTTGTGAAAAAAAAAAAAAAGACGAGTGAATAACGAAAAATGAAAAACGAAAAAAAAGATAAAAGATAAAAGGAGGAAAAGCAAAGTAAAAGAAAAAAAAAAACAAGAAAAAAGCATCCTATAGGAAGCATCAAATAACAGCGCACTATTATTGCAGGTGGGATGAACTAAGAAGCGGTAAGGGAACGGAGAGCAAAGGACGACAGATGAAACTGTTGTTTCACTGGTGTTTAGTTCAGTTTAGTTCAGTTTAGTTTAGTTTAGTTTAGTTTAGTTTAGTTAATTTTAGTTTAGTTTAGTGCAGTTCATTTCTTTTTCTCTTCTTCTCTTTAACATCTAACTTGTACATTACCAGCACATTACGGAAAAAGATGTAGGAATTGTCCGGAATATTCAGACAATTTTTTGGTTAAGAAAAACTGCGAAAATTGCTAGAAACAGAAAAAGAGGAAAAAGAACCTTTAAAAATTACTAAAGCGATAGATGCAGATGAATACAGTGAAGGTAAGGGAAGTGATAACAACGACAACAATAATGATACCGGTGATAATTATTGTTCAGTAATGTTCTTCTGTCTTTTTTTTTTTGCATCTGAAAAGAAGAAGAAAGAAGAAGGAGTAAAAAGAACTAAGACGAAGGAAGAAGTGGAAAAAAATTTAACAGAAATATGCCGAGGAGGAAAAAAAGGTTGAGAATACTGCGAACAAGAAAAAAAAAAAAACAACAACTGAGAAAAAAAAATTAAAAGATGGTCGGAGAAAAAAGAAAACTAAACAGATGAAAAAACAAATCGAGTGATTTAATTAATATTTATGGTGGTGTGTGTGTGTGTTTATAAAACAATAATTTCAAATTGATGCTTCATATAAATCTTAACAGTTGACAATAAAACAAAAAGAAAAAAATTATTATTATAAACATCAATCCCTTTCTTTTCTCCCCCTCTTTCTTCCCCTTTTTCCAGGTTTTCTGTTGGTTCTCTCTTTTTCTTCCTTTTTTTCTGTTCTTTTTTTTTCTCCATACAACTAAACTGAAAACTGAAAGAAAAAAAGCTGACTTTAGAAATCCACAAAAAAAAAAAAAAGAAAAAGAAAATTGAAGAAGTAGATGGAAAAATGTAAAGATGATTGGAAATTTTTGTCTTTGCCAAAAAGAAAAAGGATGAATTGAGAAAAGCGAGAAAAATATACTTTTTCAAAAAAAAAAAATTTTTTTTTTTTAAAAACCATCATCAGAGCAAAAAGCTTTTGAAATTTTTTTCTTCCTCATCTTCATCTTCTTCTTCGCCTTCTTCTGTTTCTACTGCTGTTGTTGCCGTTTTCTATCATTTTTATTTGACTTCTTCTTCTCCTTCTTCTTCGTGTTCTTCTGATCGATACCTGTTGCTCCTCGATGCAACATCAGTTCGGCGAGTCAATCCAAAAAGAAAAAAAAGAAAAAGCTTTTTCTTTTCGGATATATGTGCACAAGTGTTATCATCGAGTGAATGGCGATAATGTCTGGTGGAGCCCGGCATCTCCAGTTATACATCTTGACTGATTTTAACAATATGAGATAAGACTACAGCCGGAGAGCATAACCAAAAACATGATTGTTTTTTTTTTCTTTTGCGATATTGTTCAACAATGATAGTTCTTTTATACTGAACAGAAAAAAAAAAACTGCCAACTTATAATTTGTTATTGCTAATAAGTTTTGACAACAAAATAGTGCCTTTTTTCCGGTTTTTTCTCTTTTTTGTTTTGATTACAAGTCAATTTATAGTTCAAGTGGGGTTTTTTCATTTCTGGTGTTATTGTTCTTACTTCTTGTCGCTATTTCTCAATTAGCTGATCTCGATAAGAGGCTCATTAATTTGTTTGTACAAACAATTTGAAATTTTTTTTGTAAAAAACTAAAAAATCCCACTTTAGGCTCCTTGTAATGCCTAACAAATTAGCTCTTAAAGAGTAGAAATTTGTTTTTTTTTTTTTTTTTTTTTATAACTTTTTTTAAAAAAATTCCAAAAAAAAAAAAAAAAAAAAATAAAAAAAAAAACCCCAAAAAAAAAAAAAAAAAAAAAAAAACTAAAAAAAAAAAAAAAAAAAAAAAAAAAAAAAAAAAAAAGAGAAAGAAAAAAGAAAATAATGGTGCAGTTTCAGTCCTAGTTTAAATTGGCTCTTCATCCCAGTTATACTAACTAACAGAAGTTAATGACAACACAGTGATAATGAACAAAACAATGGCAAAGATAAGACTACTGGTGATGACAGCGGTGATAAAGACACTGGTAA